GTCTCTATGAAGTCCAAAATATTTCCCATATGTACAATTTTTGTCTGTGTGAATGGATAAAAAACAAAACAATCTAACCTCAATGTGTACCATAGAGTAAAGTCCATCAGAATAATTACCATGGGTGTATTTACTGAAGTACAGGGAAGTTACTTTACGGCGTTAGGAAAGCGACTGGAGCCGAGATGCCAGGTCAGGACCAATAACAATGCAAATTCTTCTTTAGATTTTACCAAAAATCTATAAATATGTAGCTGGACCACCTGACTAGATGTAGCAGCAATATTCAAAGCAAGGACAAATGGTTGGCTTATAAATATGTAAACTAGATTCTGGTGAGAAAAGTGTCTAGCTTGACGAAACCGACTTTCTTCGCTGCAGACTTAGTAACTGATTCAATCTACTCTTTCCACTTCATGTCAGCTGAAAACGTTAGTCCAAGAAAGCACAATGAGTCACTCTTCTAGAGGTTAGCATCAGCCATGTTGATGGAAGGTAAAAAGAGTTTTTTCAGACAATTAAAAGGAAGCAGTTTCGTCTTAGATGAACAAACCCTTCCTTGCCCTATTTAACAACAGATTCTAGGTTATTTTTTAGATCAGCTGCCAAAATAACCTTATCGAACCGATCACACTTACTATTAAGACAGGAGTAAATGGTTGTGTTATTATCATAGAATTGGTGGCTTCAGGTGGGGTCATTTATGAAATTTGGAAATAATGTAGGTCCAAAGATAGAGCCCTAGGAAACACCTGCATGAATGCAAAAAGATTTAGAAGAGTGGCCATTCAAGACAACTTTCATTTCGCGATTTGATAAGAAAGATTGAATCGGTTTAGAAATTCATCCAGAAATGCCATAACATTTCAACTTTTGAAGAAGACCAATAAGCCAAACCCTGTCAAATTCCTTCGAGATATATTGAGTAACAGATTTATATTCATATCTAACATTTTCCTGTAATGAGCTGCCAAGATGTTTAACCGTTTATCACTCTATTTCTTCCTACAGAAAATAGAAATGACAAACTTGAATTTATTACCTTCCATCTGTCATGACAGCAAGCAGTCTAAATCATTTCTTGTAACTGGAATATCCATATACACATTAAAATAATGGATACTTTCTCTCTCAATATGCTCGGACATATGACGGCCTATGTTTTATAGACACAATTACAAGACATTAAATTCTTACACAAGTACATACCGAAAATGTATTTGCACCATATATGATGGTTATGATGAATTTAACCATGGCCAACTTTTTAACGTAATGTTATTGCCAATCACGAAATTGGTAGTGACTTTTGAAACTAGTATCTTACATTGGGCAATAAATAAAAATACTTGGATTGGTCTCTTGGCTCGTGACAAGTGATGAATCCATTAGCTTTTGTTAATGTATGCACCTAGAAAATGAAAACCCGTACATAACACCTGCGTTCAGTGCTAAACTGCATATTATGCTTCTGCTTATTTCTGGAATATTTGAAAGATGAGAAGGTTTTTGCAACACGCTGACGTGTGTTGAAATCCTACCAGTTTTATTATTGTTGAATTTATCGCTAACATTTTTATCGAGATTTACAAACTCTACGTTGCTTTCAAATTCGCAAATCAGTCGATAAAATTTGAGTAAGTTGATTTGTTTGGAAAATACTTTGACAAAAACACTACTTCACGGTTTCATAATTTCTTTAATTTAATTTTATAGGACTTCATGGTAAACAATATATTTTTTAAATTCTCTTTTTTTCCTTTTTAATAGCGAAAAATAAATCCAGTATTTCTTACTCTTGAGCATGCAACATACAACTGCAGTGCATAAATATTTCTTTCTGGAGCCAAATTCCAAGTTTTTGAAGCGTTTGGCCTTGTGATTTGTTTATAGTTCTCGCAAATGCACGGCGAACTGGAAACTGGATTTTTGTATGTATAAAAACTTAAAGAAAGGATATGCAAAAGCAATATTACATTTTTATTAAATAAGTATTTGTTATTTTAATCATTAAATTGCTTTTTAAATAGTGGAAGTATTTTCTATGTTAAATAATAAAACTTTTAATTATTCAAAAAAGAGTTTATGAAAATTTATTATAATAAGCTAGGCATCCTAATAAACCAACTGAACTTTGAACCCTTTTACCTGTTTGCACTTCTCCCCCAAAATTTGGTTTCGGTTAATGTATGGCTATTTTAGAGGATGTGACGGACGGACAAACAGACTAACTGAAGTCACAGAATTTTATATATAGACTGTTAGTATAAGTTTTATTCGATTATAACTCGGTATGTGCATTGCAGGCAATGTTTCTTCTTCTATGTACCGTATCCCTTCACAACATTTATGATCATGACTCTCCACAATTTCCTGTCCTTTGTAGCTCTTAATAAATATTGTCTTTTGCTATCTCTCCTAAGTCATGTTCTACAACAATTTACTCAAACTCGATAGATAGGTTATATGTTTTTTACTTGATCCCACTTGCCTTCAATCTGTCCTGTGACGATCAAATTTTCCAAGCCCGCTTTCCTCATCATGCATCCTAGAAATTTCAACTGTTTGTTTTTTATGTTAATTATAAATGTTCTTTTGGTTTTCCTTTTGCTTGAAATTTAGGAGTTGCTCACATGTTCCGTGCATGGTATTCTCAGCATCCTTCTGTAGAACTACATTTCTGTTTCTTCATGTCTTTTCATCTGTTGCTTCATGTCTTTTCATCTGTTTCTTCATGTCTTTTCATCTGTGAAGAGCCTGTTCAGCATTCCATGTCATATAACAGGACTGATATTACGTAACTGCTCAGTACTCTTTTTTTGTTTTGTTGTATCTAGGAAATTTTCCTATTTCGTAATACTTTGCTTAGCTTTTGGGAGCCATCTTCGCTATCCTAATGCGCCTTTAGATTTCAATGTCAAACTTTCCGTCCTTTCTTAATACATTTCCCAGATATTTAAATCTTTGTACTTCTTTCATTTTTGGTGTCTCCAATTTGTCCTTTGAATGTTGGGTTGTTCCTTTTGCTAACAACGCTGCATTCTGTCTTCTTGCAATTAATATTTAGCCCGTTTTTGTCTCGTTTTCCTTCATTATCTTCTGTAGGAGTTCTTATCGTTTCCTTTTAATGTCTGCTCTCAACACTGTCATCTGCATATCTTACGTTATTAAGACGTGTGGCCGCCAGTAATGAATCCAGTTAGGACTTCTGATTCTCTCAGAATCGCCTCACTGCATAGGTTGAATAAGTCCGGTGAGAAGACCCAGCCTTGTCTTATACCCCTTTCTATTTTTGTATTTCTGCTGAATTCATTTTGTTTCCGTGTGTAGGCTGTTTTCTGTCAGTATAGATTCTGGGTTATTCTAATACCCTTCCTAAATGTGTTGAGGTTAACGAGCAGTTCCAACAGTTCTACTTCCCTCTCTCTTATGACTATTCTCTCAGAATCACTTCTCTGTGTAAGTTGAATAAGTCCGGGGAGATGACTCATCTATGTCTTACGACCTTTTCTATTTTTGTATATTTACTGAATTCATCTTCTTTCCGTATGAAGGCGGTTTACTGTCAGTATAGATTTTGGATTATTCTAATATTCTTCCTAAATATGTTGAGGTTAACGAGCAGTCTCAACAGATCTACTTCCCTCTCTCTTATGACTATTCTCTCAGAATCTCCTCACCGTATAGGCTGAATAAGTCCGGTAAGAAGATACATCCTTGTCGTTCACTTCTTTTCTTTTTTTTAATAAGTTTCTTGGTTTTGTATTCAAGTACATAAGCTTTCTTTTTTATTCTGATATTTGATATTGTTTTGCCACAGCTTTTGAAGATGGAACTACCTATATCTAATATATTTTGTATCTGTGGAAAAGTACTGTCAACTATATGAATGTAACCCATTGTATTCCATGCAACAAAAGATTTTAAAAAGTACCATTTCAAAAGTAGGTAGCAAGTTAGTCTCTTTGTTATTAAACAAATATTTATTTTCATTATTGTTACCACACCTGTCATTTCTGATTCATTGTGGGCTTCCTTTTAAAATGGGTGTGTTCCAAATATTGGGCCTGAATTTAAACCAAATTTAAAGTTTCTCGCCTCTGTGTAAATATTTGAGAAACATGTCTTCTTTCTCAGCTGATAAAAGAAAAGGATTTGAATTGGAAAACAATGAAAGGTTTTGATGATCTGTCTTTAAGAAAATATTATTGGTCGAGTTGAAATTTGAACGTACAACATGAAGCATCATTATTCCTTCTTTCGATGTTTGATTTTAACCGACGTTTTGTTTATACCTTCGTTCCCTCCTACTAAAATCTATATGATTTTATCAATAAAAAAACATTTGGTCTGAAGAAGTCCTTTCGAACATCGAAACGCACTACATAGGATTTTATCTCATTTTGTTATTCCATTATCAACCTTAAGTCTTATATATATAATTTATGTATTACACTCACCCGTACGATCAGCAAAGTTAAGCAACGTCGAGCCTGGTCAGTACCTAGATGGGTGACCGTTAGGGAATACCAGGTGCTGTAAGCTTCGATGTGTGGGTGGTGTAATGGATAATGGCTTCGAATTGTTAATGGAAGAGCCGAGTTCCAATTCCCGTTGGGTTCGTTATATTTACTTACACGCAAATACCTTTGTGAAAAGGTATGACTCTTCTCCCCCAGCTATGGGTTAATTAGTAAGACATATCAATTAATCGATATTATATTCTTTTAAAATTCTTACAGTGTAAAAATATTTTCTGACTTTAAATAACCTGCAAAGGGTTGAGAAGATGGTAGAAAATGATTTAATCTCCCATATGTGTGGGTGCGCGCGCGCACTCCCGCATAGCTGACCATGAAACCCGTGTTCAATTTGTCAAGGAAATAAAACCATTCGAGATAAATTCTTGATGTCAGGGTACCTCAAACCATACAAAGAGTTGACACAAAAGTTGCTGATGGTTAGGCTAGCAAGACTTTACGGATCATTTTGACCGACAGATCGTCCGTGCCGGTGTTGCTCATTTACTGATCATGCCTTATTAAGTATAACGCTGCGTAGCGTCCGAAGCCCCTGCGCTACTTCACAACGCCATCCCGTCCTCAGTCACCGGTGTGTCCGCGATCGAATCCTGTGGCTAACCGTGAAGTTGGTCACTTCGATCACCGTTTGTTTTGATCATAAGGCAGGCAAGGATCAAATCGTCGCCAGATACTTGGTGGATTGGCGTCGTTCAAGCGGGACGATGTTGTAAGACAAAAAAAGAAAGTTGTGTAGATCAACAAGGTTTATATAACTGATGTTTACACAGGAACTCTTTCGTATAAGAATCTACAAGTATGCAGGCTAACGACCATTCTCTCGTAGTCTAATTTCATGACACTTTGTTGAAGAAATTGAAGACTTCTTCAGGCAGCAAATTACGGAATACTGACGACACGTTCTTCACTCTCTCTCTCTCTCTCTCTCTCTCTCTCTCTCTCTCTCTCTCTCTCTCTCTCTCTGTCGTTATATAGAGACTTTCAATTCTTCCACTTTGCAATTTCATCAGAGCACTCTGCTCAATTTATCTAATGTCTGGAACAAGGCATGAGTCAGGAGTTCTTCGTGGCAGCAAATTACATGGCGTAATTGAAGCGCGTCTCTGCCTCAACTGCTGCTCTCTCTGTCCGCCTTCTTTTCTCGCTTCTCTGTCGCTCAGTCAAATCTCAAGTGCTGCTGGGTGGCCCTTGTATGTCTAAATATGAGGAGCCTCCTTGCGGGGATGGCCGTAGCAATACATCATTCCGCCATCTTGTTCTCCCCACTCTTGTCCGCACCTCACACCAATACCTTTCAGTGGGCGTATTCATTTTCCTCCTACTTCTTAATATCAGCTTCTCACACTGCCAACCATCCAGGGAATAGGTATTCCTCTGTAAATGCCTGGCATAAAACGTTATTTCTAATGTCATTGTAAAATCCTTATCTGCTCTCTGAGGTGGTCTCTTAGTCCTTGGCCGAAACCAGTGCTCTTCCCCACACACCGTTCGTTGGTCCTAGCTAGCAAAACAAAATAAGGAGACATCACATTCAATCAGTGCTGGACAATTCAACTTTGCCCAAGTGGATTTCAGCATTATCTTCTAGAGAGGTCCTTATTCCCGATATGAGAAAAATAAAAGCATATTTTCTTTTGTTTTTGGTATGTCTTTCAATCTATCTACTACCTTCTTTGTCTTTGCCTTTTTTCTTCAAATTATCAGCATTCTTACAGTGTCACAACGTAATCTCGACACAGAAACTTTAACTAAGATCTGCTCGGCATAGTTGCAGTTTTAATCACAGGTCGGCTCTGTGGGTGTTGAACAAACACAAATGACGTTCTTGATTTTGTATTATAAAACATAGGCTTTCTTTTTTATGCTCATATAGGATATTAATTTTTCCCAGCTTTTGAGGATCAAGGTGTATATATATATATTGTTGTTGTGGATAATTTTTGTCAACTATATGAATGTAACCAATTGTATTCCCTGCAACAAAATATTTTAAAAAGTACCATTTCAAACGTAGGTACCATGTTCGTGTGTTGTTATTAAACAAATACATAATTTTGTTACTGTTGTGGGGTCCTCCCCTTTTTCATATAAGTGAACTCGACCAAAGCGTTACTTGGACTGCTGCCGTTAAATACCCAGAGTTAGACAGTCAGTCAGAGAGTCAGTCGTTCACTTCTGAACCGACTGTTCGGTTGAACTCTTTGCCTTCGGGCGGGGAGGAACCCGAACGAGGCCACGCCGAGGGGCGGAGTCTCGTTCGGAGATGTAAACCGGCCCTGAGCCCGTTTATACGGGTTCAATGGGCATATTTTTGGGCCGAGCACATGGGCCCGGAGAACCCACAATAAATAACCGACCTTGATGCCCCAGTGGGGTGGTGACTGAATATCGAGTCAGTCAGAGATAGTAAGAAGACTGAGATTGTGATTGATTTGGAGGTAGAGTAATAGTGTGAGGTAACCGCTTGTAGAAGTCAGTTACAAGCACGTAGACTCTAAGGAAGTCCTACTTCGAGACTGTATATATCTATATATTATTGCAACTAACCGCGTTCCTGGATTTACTAACAGTATTACCCTTTGTATTATTGTGTAAATACATTTTATTTCTTATATTTAATTCTTGCGTTTGTCATTCATTGGAGACCGAATTTCCTCTCGGGATCCACAACAAATTGGCGACGAAGATTCGAACACACGCGGAAAACAACAAAAGAAAAATATTATGGCGACGAAGATTTGAACCCAGAGTTACACAGTCAGTCAGAGATAGTAAGAAGACTGAGATTGTGATTTTATTTCTTATATTTTTCTACTTCCTATCATCTCTTATTTCATATCCAGTTCAGATGTACATTTGGAATGAGTGTGTCCAAATATTACATCAGCAAAGGAATTAGCCGCGCATATATATATATATATACTAGCAGTAGAGCCCGGCGTTGCCCGGGGATGTAACAGTAAGAGATAAATCAAGTATCGACCATCATAAAGACTGAAAAATAAAATTGACAAAGATTATTGTTTAAGGTTGACGGACACGCATGTCTTAATTAGTTTTTTTTTTTTTTTTTTTTTAATTGGTCAAACCCAAATTCAAACAAAAACATTGTTTACAATCGTTATGAGTCTATCGATTGGTGAATAGAATTTTATTATAAACAATTGTCTTGTAAATGGAATTTTTAAAGCATTCTGAATGTATAAATAAAGAAAAAAGTGTGCAAGACAATAAGAAATACTACCTGCCTCACCCCAAAAAGTGGATGTTTGTTTTATCGGCTGAAAAATGTAAGCAATCCGATCCCATATATAAAGGAACACACACACACACACACACACACACACAAACAACCTGGGTTTTTTTTTACCTAAGTCACTCCACGGAATCGCTAAAACATAGAGCATAGTCTGATGAAAAAGACTTAAAGTTTATGAAAACAAAATTTTATCGTCAAAATGCTTATGTTTTTTTTTGAAGAGGATAGACTAAAATTTTTTTTAATTGTTTTTTAAAATTTTTTCCATCTTTTTAGAATATTCTAAATTTTGATTTAAAACACCTTGTTTCCTTTGTCGCAACAAGAGGTAGTAAATAACATAGATAATTTTTAGCGCGTTTTTTTGTATTTACACATTAATTTGGAAAATCTTGCAAAAATAAAATAATTGTCAGATGTTAATGAAACTTTCAAAACTATTCACAGATGATCAAAATTAATATAAATATGTTTTTTTTTTTTAAAAGTCATGGCAGAAATATTTTTTTATATTTATTAACACCCCATAACTAATTTTATGAAAAACTCTAGAAATTCGAGACCATCGGTTTTAGTGATTTTACAATAGCTAAAAGCACAAGGCTTTGAAGAATGCAAATCATCTTTTTTTTTTTGTTTTTTTGGCCAACGTGCCTCAAAATCAGCTGTGAATTGTAACATACAAAACTCAATAAAACAAATATATTATTTAGTTTCAAATGCTTTTATTTGTTTTAATTTGTTTTTATGAATATGGACAATATTTTCTGAAAGCAAAAAAATTTTTAAATGAAAATTGAATTTTTAATACAATTATTTCTTATTTCTTTAATTTTAAAAAGATTTTTAAAAAAATTTTAAATTGAATTTTTAAAAATATTTTAACATTAGTTAAAAGCAACATCATACTTTCAAAATGTCCGTGTGAGATTGTCATTGTCTAGCGCTTTGAAAATTGTATAATTTGGACCAATCAGATTAGCCATGGTAATTAAGAAATGTAATTTTTGTGTTTATAGTCGGACAGTAATTATCAAGTACGGAAGACCAACCAGAATACAATTTAGTTGCATTATTTGAGTTCAGCATTGTTCTCCGCTGTTAAGCCCCTTACTTTTGCGAAACAGGTATGGAGAAGTTAATTTGAGTTTTTAATTTCAACTGAGAAGGGTACCTACAAGTAACAGTATCATCTTATGAAATATAACTACTGCTAAACTTTTATTTATATGATCTTATATTTATATTAATCTCAGTTATGACATTTTTCCATAAATGAAATATCAAAATTAATAATAAAATGAATGGAAATACAAATAACACAGTAAAATGTAATAAATGTACATAAAATTATAGTATTTTATGTACACTTCTGATAAAATTTCATAAGAAAGGTACCTAAATTAATTAGATACCTTTTTCTTATGAAATTTAATCTCACTATTAACAGTCTTATCTTTTAATTTCATTATATTTTCCATAAAGCATTGTAAACGTAAAAATGAAAGCTAAGTACAAAAAAAAAATAAAAAATTAGAGCGCTGAAAGTTTTCCTTAAAAGTAACGAGGTAAATAATTTGTTCACTTAAATAATTTCACTTCCTTCCATCCGTAGAAAGAATTCTCCTCCCGTAAGTTATCTAAACGTCATGAATGTGCCTTTCGTCAATCGTCAAGCGACGCGAAAGGTTATGACCCGCTTTGTTTTATTTTCAAATTACATTTTTTCGGCGCAGAAGCTAAGTTAAGCTTGGTTCAAAATGTTTTAAATAAACAGTATAATATCTGTTTTTATTAAAATCAGTTTTGAAAAAATGATAATTGACTTTTAAAAGAATATCAAAGTAAGATTTTAATCTTTTTTATCAAATCGAAAAAAATGATTGAAAATTATTATCTGCGCTTTTTTTTGCCCAAAAAAAAACAATATTTTTAACGAAAATTTCAGACGTGCTAGGAACGATTAAAAAATGGAAAAAAATACCCCCAAAATACTTTTATCTTTCCTCTTTAATAATAATATGAACATTAGACGATAAAATTTTGTTTTCGTCAAGTTCGGCGTCTTTTTCATCATGCTATGCTCTTTTGTTTACATTTTCGTGGGTGAGTTCTCCCCCTTTCATTCTCACGATGTGTCTTAATCGTGTTTTCAAATTGATTTTATTAAAAAAAACAACTGTATTTTTCCCATTTTCGGCCCCGTTAGAACCACCACAAGGTAATTTTATGTAGTCCAGTGAAGTTTTGTTGAAATCGGCTAAAAATGTAGGAAATTCGATCCAACATATAAACGTTACAGACACACACACACACACACACAACCTGCGTTTTATAATAAGTAAGATATATATATATATATATATATAGGAAGATATATAGTCTTACGGTGTGCTATATTTATGGGATAAAGTGCTCAATATCAGAGATAGAGCATGTGTAAATATTTATATTATATATAGTATCATATAGAATATATATATATATTATAGTATTATATATAGTATATATATATATATATTATAGTATTATATATATATTTCGGCATATATATATATATATATATATATATATATATATATATATATATATATTGTGTGTATTTTAGGCAGCATATTTTCATTTATACACGTTTCATTAAATAATATAGACAAGTGTTGTCTATTTATTTTATGTAAAATTTTTTCGTATCTTCTGATAAGTTTGGTAACATTATCATTAACCGAAAAAGAAATTCAATATTTATCCATTATTTTTAATAAAATCTAAGCTTTCGGCTTACTCAAACATTATCAAAGATGTAATTACAAACATATCAAACAATATACGGACATTGTTGATATGTTTGTCATTGTTTTTGATTGGCTAGTGGATCACTAATTTTATTAAAAATCTTATATATTGTGAATTCATTTGGTTAATGATAATGTTACCAAACTTATCAGAAGATACTTTACATAAAATAAATAGACAACACTTGTCTATATTATTTAATGAAACGTGTATATATATATATATATATATATATATATATATATATATATATATATACCAGCAGTTTTCAATCTGCTTGTCTGAATCATCTTCAAGAAGCGAGAGCAAGATCT